AGAAGGGAATCCGTCCGTTTATGTTGATAGAGATTGAAGAGGATGAAAAGGCAGAAGGGTTGCCGTGGAGATTGCAAAGGCAGGAGTCTGCGATGGGCAAGACAAGAAGACAAGAGGAAATAAAAGAACCCTCCCGTGGAGAAGACAGGAAGACACGAAGCGAAAGGTCTGTGTGGGAAATAAAAGACGCTAGCCTTGGAGAAGAAAGCAAGCGTTGCGTCCCGACAGGAAACCATTGAAAAAAAAAATAGATTGCCAGCAAAATTCGTGGAAAAAACTTACATGGCATCACCAGAATGCAGCAAAAATTCTGTAGTGGATAAAGGATTGCTGACATGGCATAGTGATGATGTGGATATGCTGTATGTTTAGAGAAATAAGATAGTGGAGATGAACTATTTAGGTATTATATATTAGGGAATCGTTTACATCCGGCGCACCGGCCGAACCACGCGCCGGTCACTTTCCACATACGTGCATCTCCTATGAGCCCACACACCAACATGCATCCAGCAGCCTTATCTAGTCCCGCTCCACTCGTTCCTTTGATTCTTCCTCTCTGCCTCACATCGTCTCCCACCTCCAGCACTAGCACAGCTCCTCTCTCTCCCCACCACCCACCATGCTCGCTCAGACTGCTCTCCCTTCCTATCTCGCAGGTTTCTCTCCCTACTCCCGGATCTCGCAGGCTACTCTATATCCCCACCTTGCGCAGGCTGCCAACGAGCCAGTGGTAGCCGCTCGTTTTTTTGCTGCAACCACGGTCTCGTCGCACATCGAGGGTTATAGCCATGGCGATCATGGAGAGGCAGTGCTACGGCCGGCGTTGTGCACTGCTACGACCACAGCGTCGTGGTGCTACAACCGGCGGCTGGCTGTGCTGGAACCGGCTATGCAATGTGCTGGAACCAGGACCAAATTTGCTACATCGCAGAGACTATGTGCTGGGAACCGACCATCGGAGCTTCATCCAGCGACATAGTTTGCTACATCCGGAATCATTTTTTGCTGGAACCAATCGAGTAACGAGTACGACCATCGGTGCGGCAGAGCTGCAACCAGGGAGAAAAAATGTTACGATCGCTGCTTCAAATCGCTACAACCGTCTTTTTTTTTTGCTGGAACCAGTTGAGCGTGAGCGCAGCGGACTTCATCCGGCGACATAATTTGCTACATCCGGCATGGATTTTTGCTGGAACCAGCACGATCGTCGGACGGCCACACGACGCCACCGGAGTTGCTACCGCATGCAGCTCGGGATGCTAGCACCGGCGACCGTGGTTGCCATGACCACATCGGTGATACTAGGACAACTCCAGGATTTTTGGGACGGCCGTGCTGCATCGGACACAACAGGACTGCTGGCAAACGAAGGCGAACAGTTGAGGGACGAGAGCGGATGGCCGGCGAGCGCGGGCAGCCGGGACAACAAGGGCAGGCGACGCTGGTTATCGGCAAACACAAGCAGCCAAGGACGAGCGTAGGCAACGGCAAGCACGGAGTCTGCCATGGACGCAATCGGCTGGTCAACGCGGACGAGATCCAAAGCAGATGCGTGAGGAAACAGAGGAAATCAACGACAGGACGTGGCCTAATCCTACGGCTGGGGGCCGACCGGCCGAAAATTCGGCCGGCGCGCCGGCGCCTAGCAACGGCCTATAGATTATAGATGTGTATTCCAGTTCAAAAAAAGAAAAGATAGCCGGACTAAAAACCTTGCTTTAGCCATGTTTCGGGCTGAATCTGAAAAAGGGAATTGTCACTCTTGAAGCCCAAAGGTCCTGGCCCAATATGGACGACGAGCCCAGCATAACGCCTGGTATATCTGTCATAAAAGAAAAGAAAAAAGAGTCCCTGGAGGTTTTAGATCTCGCCGTCTCCCCTCTCCCCTCTCCGAGAACCCTAGTTTCCCTCTTCGGGCGGCGGCGGCAACCATGGACAAGAGCATGCTCGGCGACCTCGACAACCTCCCCGACGAGGACAAGATGCGCATGTCCGCCATGATCGAACAGCTCCAGATGCGTGACAGGTACACGCCACACGCACCCCCTGATAATACGGCCGCTCGATCCCTGTCTCGTCCGTGATCTGAATTCTATGGTCTCAGGTCGGGGCTTGTATCTTGCGCTACCAGAAAACAGTGATTAGGTCGGTACTCATGTGTGCTCCTCTGACTATCTAGGCGTTTTTCACGGCGGAGGAAAAAGTTACTTCAGATGTGTCTGTCGCACTTGGGCAGTGACTTCTTTCAGATATGATCTGTAGGAGATTTAGTGCTCCATAGGACTAGTGCGCTTAGTTTCCAGGTATCAACAGGATTTTTGTGAGTTTGCAGCCCCTTGAAGTTTCAAATCACGCGAGATAGGTTTAAATTTGAGCTGCCTTTCTTTTGCTTAGATAGTTGAAACCAGAGATTAGTTTCAATGCATTGCAGTTCGTTATCTGCTATGTTGTACTTGGGTTTGAGTGGCTATTGCATGGATTTCGAGTCGCTCGACTAGTCGCGACTAGTCGACGACTAGTCTATGAGTCGCAAAAATATGGTCGACTCAGCTTAGTGTCGACTCGCGAATCTGAGTCGCGACTAGTCACAACACAGGCTCGACTTCTTCCGAGTCGCTGCTCCAGAGCGACTCGCATGAGTCGCGACTCGAAAACCATGGGCTATTGTGGTCGGATTATATCACCTAGCTGAGTTAGGTTCGTGCCTATTCTGGATGAAGCGTGCATCCTTGCATTAAATAGCTTGTTGATTACCCCGCAAGAAAAAAAATAGCTTGTTGGTTGTGTGGTTTAGTCTTTTAGCTATTCAGATGGATATTCAGATGCAATGGTCTTTTATCATGTACGAGAAGTGCAAGAACATATGTTATCTGGATTAATTTTGTTAGTTCTTGCAGAACTTCACTAAATTGCTGTTTGAGGTTACTCTCTGAATTGTTCCATCGGTTTATGCTGGAGTTGATAAAGGATATTATTTCTGTTATTGAACATCTAGGTGATTGTGTCTATGTTGCCACAGGTAACGTAATTAACATTTGTGGTGAAATAATGATGTCCGATGGTTTGAAAATAGTATTGCCCACTAGAATAACCCTTCATCCTTGTGTATATAGTCGGGAGTTCTATCTATGTTGCCACAGGTTATGTAATTAACATTTGTGGTGATATAATGATGTCCAATGGTTTGAAAATAGTATTGCCCACTAGAATAACCCTTAGTCCTTGTGTATATAGTCGGAGTGGACAGATTGGTCATTCATGAATCTGTCACCCCTACCACAACTTAATACTCCTTATTCTCTTTTAAAAAATTTAACCAACTATCTGATAGTTTTAACATTGTAACATCTGCAAACGAACAATGCTTACGATTTTGCTTTGTTGTTTCAGTCTACGGATGTACAATGCGCTGGTGGAGACGTGCTTCAAGGACTGTGTTGACACGTTCCGGAGGAAGACGCTGGACAAGCAAGAGGAGTCATGTGTCCGCCGCTGTGCCGAGAAGTTCCTGAAGCACTCCATGAGGGTCGGCATGCGATTTGCTGAGCTTAACCAAGGCGTTGCCACACCCAACTAATCAAATGATGTGTCCCTGCCCCTTCAAGTTTCTAACATTGCCCATCTGGTCAGGATCAGTTTGTAATCCTTGAAAGTTTTCAGTACTTCATGAACCCACTGCTACTTATCATGTTAAAAATAAAATTACTTGAACTATTGTATCGAATCCTTCCTCCCGTTTAAGTGCCACATTGTGCTAATAGATCAATATATATCCTTCCTTTGATATCTCGTCTAGTAGAGTTTGTATTTCTCAATCTTATTTTGGTCACATTCATGGATCTCAACTTCTTTAGTAGACTTTCTGGTATTGCTGTGTAATGCTGAAACATCATAGTGCATGATCTGTAAAGGCGCCTTTTGCCTTGCCCTTTGTCGAGGCATCTACTTTTGTTCGAGAGCAAAGAATGTTGGACGATGCACATGAACACATCATGCCATCAACAGCTCCCTGCCTGGAGGTTTCCCATGGTCTGGGCATGATCACATTGCCTGGTTTTGGAGCTTGGTCATTGGCAGTTTGGGTGAGCAGGTTGGTCACCTTCTGCCCACTACCAGCTGTGTGCTCCATGTGGGTGTGCATTGTTTTACATCCATGTGGGTTATGGTGGCATGTCGATGGTGAAGGAAGCTGCTTTGCTTGCTTGCTCTAATGCAATTATCATTGTGTCAGTACCAAGATTGTGAATTGTTCTATGCATCCCCTTGTCCTTTTGAGCTTGCTTGTGGATGCTTATGAGGTACTACTAGAAAATGGTACTCTGCAAATTAAGAGCTAAGTTCCCAGAGCATTTGTGGCTATTACGTTGCGGTATCACACAAATATAAAATAGAAGCAATCATTCAGTGGCAGTGGAACTGTGGAAGGAGGAATATGGCCACAGTGAGGAGGAATATCATACTAGCTTTCGTTCTGGAGACCTGTGACCTGGAAGTAGAATCTCATGGCTGTAAAGTACAGCTCAACTTGAGGCAATGATGGAGTTCAGCTCAGCACTTCATCTCAGTTTGGATGCTCCCCAACTGAAGCATCAGACTTACACTGTTGAAGATTCACTTATAACTTTGGAGAAAGCAGCACGGCAATTCTGATCAAATTTGCATAAAAACTTGGGGTCACATTCAAGAACTGAACTCTGACAAGTTTGTGTACTTCAAGCATGTATCTCGTCACAGCGTGAAGAATCAAAGGGTGAGAGAGCCAAGATCAGCTTCCCATTTTCCAACCTGAAGATATGCTATTGTAGTTACATCTCCTGAGGCCAATCGTCGATCGATCAATTAACAAGAGAGTTTAGGAATTTTTCAGCATCTCAATCCACAAAACAAGTGCTCAAATTCAGTTTTTTCAGATGTCACATTCAGAAATTAATCACACGCCAGAACAAAAGAAAAAGAAAGAAGAGATCTCTATACAGAAAAGCAAATATAAGTTTGCATCAATGCACGATGCCCACCGGAGCGGCCGCGTCAATGCTCCTCTGACCCGGGAGCGCGAGCATGGCAGTGTGGTCCAAGAAGTCCTTGAGCTTGGCGACGGCCTCGATGACTGCCCTGAGCTCATCGGCGCGCGCGAACCCGCGCGCCCGGGCGGTCCGGACGGCGTAGACGTAGAAGGTGACGCAGCCCTTGCGGAACTTGAAGCGGGCCATCTCCGGCGCGCCCGGGGCGGCACGGAGGAGGCGCTTTCCGACGTCCCCGAGCGGCAGGACCTGCGGCCAGGCGGCGTCGGCGGCGGCCTTCATGGCTGCCGACTCGAAGACGAAGACGGCGGCCTTGGAGTTCTTGGTGCCGAGCCCGAGCGTGAGCGTGTGCCACGCGTGGTGCGCCAGGATGGCGAAGTTGGTCGGGATGTATGCGGTCGTCGTCGGCGCGAACGACAGCGGCTGCGCCCCTTTGCCCTTTGTGTTCTGCCCGGCGCCGGCGTCAGGGACGACGACTCGGAGCAGGTGCGGCAGCTCGAGCGGCCCGGCGCGGCGCACGGTGAGCGCGCGCGTGACGAGCTGCGCCCCGAAGCGGAGGCCCGCCACGTCGGCACACGGCTTGAAGTGCGCGTCGAGCGACGGCGCCGGCGCCGGCGACGGCGTGGCCGTGGCCTCGGCCTTCGCCTTGGTCGCCTTCTTGGACGCCTCGCCGTCCCCCTGGTGGTGATGTTTCTTGGACTTGGACGACGACTTGTTCTTGGCCGCCTTGGGTTCCGCCATTGTTGACAATGATGATTGCCAGACAGGGAGGGAGAGGTTTATGCCTTGGAGCTGGTGAGTGTGGAGAAGAGGCAAGGATGCAGGAGAGTGCGACAGGAGGTCGTCTGAGTCTCGGGAAGGACGGGACATGGCACCATTTCTTCTTTTATTTCATCATCTCTTGTGATTGCCTAGTATTTTTATCCGATGTGATCATGTCACGAGGACCCCCGCGTCGCCCCTGCTCGGGCGACACGGGTGGTACTCCAACCCTAGCCGCCGCCGGGTCCGAACCCCCTCCCTTCCTTCCTCCCGCCGCCGCCGGAGGACGCCGCCGGCCTGCGTCTGGTGGCCGACGACGGTGGCGAGGGTTCTCCTCGCTCCTGTGACTTAGGGCGGTGCGGGCCCCCTATGTGCATGGAGTCACGGTCGATCTAGCGAAGCGGCGGCGATGGCTGCGGCGACGGCGGCGGAGGCCACTCCTGCCTCGCGGCGGGCGGTCTATACTGCGGCGGCGTGTCATCCGGCCTTGGGTCAGCGGCGGCGTTGAGGGCCTGGTGGAGTGCTTGGCGGCACCTCCGGCCAGATCTAATCTGTAGGGTGTAGCCGTTGGTGGTGGCCATCTTCTCCGTCGGAGGTGGCCGGCCAGAGGCTGGGTTGTCGGATCTCGAGATCCATCATCTAGTCCCGGCTACGAGTTGGGGATACAGAGTTACCGGTGAAAACCGAGCCAATTGGCAGGCGATGGCGGCGTTCTGCGTCGTTATCTTGATGAAGGCATCGCCTGTAACTACTGTTGACCCACTCGTGCTGCTCCGGAGGAAACCCTAGGTTCTGGTTTTCCAGATCGGACGATGGCGGCACTGCGGTGTCGTTTCTCTCTTGGGAGCGTCGTTTGGGGAGTAGCGCTGGAAGTCAGAGGTAGGAGATGGAGCGGCTTCGTCTTGCACGGAGCTTCGGTGGAGATGTCAAGTCATGCCTGGCTGACAGGTGCTACGATTTGTCATGCCTGGTCGGCAGGTGCTACGCACGACAGATCTTCCAGAGACTTCAAGCTATGTCGGCTGGTGGTACCTGGCGGCATGGTGCTGAGGTGTACCGGCGGCGGCCGCGACGTGCTCAGCAGTTCGTGCACAGGGAGGTGGTAGCGTTGGGCGCCGTGGTGGCGTCGACGACAGCTAGACCGGGTAAGGATGATGCGTCAGTACAGCTCTGAAGTTGGAGTGGTGGCAGTTGGCGGCGGCGGCCTCTGAGAGCGCGCCGGACCGGTGTGTGCCTCATATCCGACAAGTGGCTTGGTTGGGGCTTCAGGTCTTAGATGTTAGGTTTGGCTGCGAGGTCTGTGATATTAGGCCCGGACTATCAACATTCCTTCATCAATTGGATAGGAGTAACGACAAATGTTGCCTAGACGGTGGTTTCAGACTTACTATTGTATTTTTTTTGTATGGTCTAATAAAGTGGTTGCATGCATCGCCCAGATGCAGAGGTCGGGGGTTTTCCTTTTTTTTTAAAAAAAATGCCGGCTGTGTGAGCTGTGCGCTGCACTTCTTTACACTTTTCTTTTCCTATTTGTGGGGGAATCGCATTTGAGTGTGCACAGAAAAAAGGTGGCTCGAGATTCTGTCTCGACGACAAACATCTTCTTTCTTTTCTGACGAATATAAACATCTTCTTTCTTAGAATCTCAAGTCACCAAAGAACATGAATTCTGAAGTTCAGAACTTGCTTCCTTCGCAGTACACACTGGGCACATAAATCTCCGTGCTTCCGTGCCAGTGTGCCTGGTACTGATTTTGATGTCGTTGTTGAGTGGAGCTTGGTACTGAATTTCGAACGTTTAGTTCCTCTCAAATGCATTTTTACTCGTTTCCCTAACCAACCAATCAAGTATTAACACATAATCTCAAGATTTCTGTACTATTTTGCGTCTGCAACATACAGATTTTCCAGTGGCCTATTTTCTTCCCTACGCAACTACGCGTGTGGATTCGTACGATCAGCCCACGCCATGCATTTCACGAAGCTGCAGCCCCTGCATGTCACCGCTAGCACCCAGATCTGCGGGAATATGCACATTCGCAGTACTACATGAGATGCCCGTGGATGCATTGCATTGCGATTAGTCAGTGCGGTTTCATGTGCGTCTTCCCATGTGCTGCTGCTCGATCGCGCGGGGTAGCAGTTGTCATGTGCGCACACATGATAGCTAGATACAGGTAAGGGCATCTCAATGCGGACCCTCAAACCTCCCGTATCTGTTCGGACCGTGCTGTCTGGATCGTTGAAGTCATTTGCGGCACGGTCTGGACGCCTTTTATCCCGCAAACTGAAGATAAACATGGAAAAGGTTTGTTGTAGTTCGGACCACTCTCACGCCCGCTTCTAACCGCCCTGGCCCACCCAAACCACCCACCCGCCACCCGTGTTTTTCATCCCACGCGTTGTGCCGCTTACTGTGCCGCATTCATACCAACCCAAAGCATGCAGCGGCCGCCATTGATGCCGTGATTTGACCGGACGGAAAGGCGGCACAGATGGACGCGGTCTCTCGGGCGTCGCCGCCGCTTCAATGCTGACGCCGTGTCCGGAGAAACCAACTCCAGCCGCTGCGCCACACAGAAGCGCCTGACCGCTGCTACTTGTGAGCTGCGTTGGTATTTTCCCGAAGAGGAGAGGAGATGCAACACATTAGAGATAAGTATTGTTGGGTTATGCGGTAGGGTGCATCGACTGCAAATTAAAACTTTCCTACGCACAGAACAACCAGGAACATTTTACGGGAGAAGGATCACAGTTCGTTACCACTAGACGCGCAGTGCCTTGCAGCGGAAGAAGAGTTGGGGCAGCGCGTCCGCGTGGATCGTCTCCTCCTTGTTCAATCTCCCTCGAACAGCCGGTCGTCCGATCCCACGTACAAGTTCGCTGGAGCGGCGCAAGTGCACCGCCTCTAACGGTATCCGCGCGTGCAGGAGGAACACCGTACGGCGGACTGCTAGGTCCAATCACACAGTCGGCGGTGAGTGGAGGTGGCTATTCGCAACACATGCAAACCCTAGTGACAGCGCCGAAGCGATCAACCGCATGAGTGTGCCGCACCTCCACTTTATATAGGCGTCCATCGCGGGCTCAACACTTGGACCTCGTACGGACCCTAAAGCCCACAAGTCTACTCGGCCACAATCCGAATACAGCTCGGATCACATCCGACCAGTGTCCTCGGATCCGACCTCGTAGGTTCCTTCCCTTAAGCGCGCGACCCCTTAGGTTCAAGTCGGCTTGGGCACAGTCCGGATCACCTCCGACCTGCACGGTTGGTAGCGACCTGTAGCAAGGCATGCCGACCACCAAGCAGACTATGAAGCTGGGAACCTGTACAACGTGTCACACTTCTGTTCCCTTTGCATCACGATATATGTTGTCGGGCTCAAGGCGAGACTGTCATCCTTGCTAGCCCGACCTCTTTCTCATTTCCAGTGATGCCGAGCACAATCCGGATTATCTCATAATCCTTGTTGCATGGCCATGCTTCTCTTAGTCGGATCACACGAGGGGCCCAAAGTATATCTCTCTTGATCGGAGGGGCAAATCCCATCTTGCTCGACCACGTCTCGCAGCATGGGTCTGGACAAGTCCGCAACCTAACTTTGTAACTACCGAGTCACGGAGTAGTGTTTGGTCGGCCCAAAGCAAGTCTGTCACCATCCCGAGTACATGTGTCAGCTCAGGTCTTAGGACATAGAACGTATGTTGTACTAGAGACTCACAGATGACATATTGCTGCATCTCATAATTGGGTCTGTCCGACTCGGACCTTATCTCGACTCAGATTCGACTACGTCGAATCCGACCAGATCCTTTCGAGTCCATATTAGCCGGTTAGCATCCAATGCTCCATGGCTAGTGAGACCAAGCCATCGACCGTGTCATATGCTAGTCTAGTCGGCTGCGCGTCCACACAGCCCTTTCGACTAGGGACCTTTTAGGACAGTCATCATACAATGCATAGTCCCATAAACAAGTCACGCACTTGCTAATACACATCATTGATAATGTTCAAGGACTATCTTTATTCATAAACACATAGGAAATATCATCATACATGATTGCCTCTAGGGCATATCTCCAACAGTCTCCCACTTGCACTAGAGTCAATCAAATAGACATCGAATGCCCATAGCTCTAACGTGCCCCTCATGCTTGGGTTGTGGAAGCGGATTAGTCAACGGATCTGCAACATTTGCATCCGTGTGAATCTTGCATAACTCTATATCACCATTCTTTACGATCTTTCGTATCAAGTGATATTTCCGATCTATGTGTCTCACCTTGTGGTGATTCCTCGGCTCCTTGGCTTGTGCGATGGCACAAATTATCACAATAAAGGTCCAATGGTTTCACAGAGGCTGGGAAAATACCAAGATCATCCAGAAAATGCCAGATCCAAACACCTTCCTTTGCAGCTTCACAAGCCGCAATGTATTCGGCTTCTGTGGTAGAATCAGCCACCGTATACTGCTTGGAACTCATCCAGTGCATTGCCCCTCCGTTCAGGACATACACGAATCCGGACTGTGATCGACAATCATCTCTGTCGGTTTGGAAACTAGCATCGGCGTAACCCCTTACGACGATCTCTTCCTCACCTCCATAAACTAGGAACATCTCTTTAGTCCTTTTTAGGTACTTCAAAATAGTCTTTACCACTGCCCAGTGACTCTCACCTGGGTTGGCCTGATATCTACTTGTTAGGCTTATCGCAAAAGCAACAACAGGCCTTGTACATATCATGGCATACATGATGGATCCGATTGCCGAGGCATACGGAATCCTACTCATCCCGCTTCGCTCATCAGATGTCGAAGGACTCCGAGTCTCGCTTAGCCTTATACCATGTGAGAGTGGCAAGAACCCTTTCTTCGCCTCACTCATGTTGAACCGCTTCAACACTTTATATATGTACGTGCTCTAGCTTAAGCCGAGCAGCCTCCTTGATCTATCTCTATATATCTTAATGCCTA